CATTGCAGATATTCCTGGGGATGATAATGCTGGACTGGTATGAGTCCAACTTCTCTTGGGCTGACGTTTATATCAGTGTAAACCATCCTCACTGCTGGTATCTTGGTGGACAGTCTCAGGGAAGAGGTCAAGGAGTGACCTGGCATTGAGGCTCGACTGGGCTTAAGGAAGAAGCAATGGTGTGGAGCGCAGCCCTTGTCTTGTCTCCTAAAAGCAGAGGAAGAGCTCCCATTTCTCTGCCTTGCTGAGGGGAGGTGCATTCCCCAACTGCTCCCAACCCCTCCCTCCCCGCTCAGATGGCGTGCTGAGAACATCTTCATCCATGGTTCAAGTAGCTGGAGACTGGACCTCCGCTTACAGGGAGCGCCTCCAGGATCAGAGAAGAAGCCCAACCAGCTCAACAACACCCGTGCCGCCTCCATCTATTCATGCTGTTCTGTGCAGACTGCAGTCGACAGAGCTTCCATCAGGTACCTTTCCACTGCACTAAATTCACTGCCCCTCTAAACAGGGAAAAAATCATCCCTTTCCATTAGTGCACTGAATTTAATTGACTTGGCATATTTGCAAGTAAGGGAGATAACTTGTGGCCTACAAATTCTTGAACAGAGGACAGGATTGAGTGGGAATGGGTATGCTAACTCCTGGCCAAAAAAAAGTGTATTTAGGAGGATTTTTGAGGAGTTCCAGAAAATAGGATTTAGGAGCATGGCTAATCTCTCCACTTATTTTAATGGACTTGGAATTATTTTTGTGGCACGTACCCATCAAAATCTAGCAGAAAATCAGCATAAATAGATTTGAAAACCTATCCATGTCAATCTGAACATCCACTGTATTTCTGAAGTTCAAAACAGTGCCACCGACACCTCATTATTATGGTTTTGCTCCAAAATTTTGCCTAGCCCGTTCCCATAATTAAGTCCCTTCTCTGTATTTCTTAAACTTTTGGCATTTTAAAAAACAACCTGGAGGCCAAACAAGCAGAGGGCGGATGAAAACCATGTGGAATACGAATTAATCAGATCCATTTCTATTGTATTTTCCTGAAGGTATTTAAAAGTAAAAAACCGAATTACTGTCAACTGTACTTTAAGTTTTCAGCGATGTAGCCAGCAGAAAGCTGTTATTAAAACTACTGTATAATTGCCTCCTTTACTCTCCTTCCCACATGAGCAGCATTATTTTACTCACAGCCAAAATCTCACAGTATTGGCTTCATAACAGAGCCTGTCAATCAGATGCCACCAGATGATACCAGAAAAAGAAAAAAACCTAGCAAGAAGCTGTGTCTCTTCTCCCCTCTCCCCCCATGCTATTGGGGCTCAGCCTCGCCTTTTATATACCCACTAGCATCCCAGCTCAGCAATGCTCTTCCAACTGGGCTGAAGTCCCACGGACTCCAGCTGGACTTCATTTCACGCACGGGCTTTGCTGAATCGGGGCATAAGAAAAAAAAATTGGTGTTATTCCCCCACGATCAGAGTAGTATCTCACACACAAACCCATGCTTAGGCATCTGAATCCAAATAATGGGCCTGAAATCCATGGGACCCGTGTGCGCTCAGCATCCCCGGAAACCAGGCCACTTATTAGGTGCCTTCATGGTGTGTTAGCTCTTTACACGCTCCAGTTGGAAAGTTGTGGCCCTTGTTCACAGTCATGCCTGCTTCTTAACTATTAAGCCAGCCTTTCTCCCTCTGCTAAATCTCAGGCCTACAGCTCTCATCCAGCCAGTAGGTTTTGCTGCTGGAAGCCAGGAAGTCTTACTTCCCCTGTGGACAATATTATATATCCTTCACCCCGACCCTGACCCTTCATTTCTTGCATGCCCAAAACTCCCCCTGCAAAACAGGTGTGAGAGATTGGGCTGGGTTGTGGCTCTCCAGAGAGATACCACAGCATTCTACCTGAGTGACCCCAGTTGCCAACTACAGCAGAAGGCAGTTTTTGGAGTCATTACGCACTGGAAAATCTCCATTCACTGGGGTGACAGGAGAGCACAGAGGGTCGGAGTCTATAACCAAATCCACATCTTCTATCCGATGCTGCTTTTATCTGCTCTGCCTCTCAGCTATGCCATCAGGTAATCTGACTGAGTCTGTGTTCCAATTGCCTGCACACTGCTTCGATTAAGACAACAACCCTGTACCGGTGTTGCTCTCTGGTGGGCACAGAAGGAAATTACTAACAAGTCATGAATGAGAAAGAGAAGGCAGCATCTCCGGAGTCACGGAGCAGGGCGGAAGGTCAAAGGCCTGAGCTCGAGAGAGACACTGGCATAGCCAGGGCCCACATTGCTTCATGAATCTGGAAGGCTCGTAGCAACAGAGGGAGAACTAGGACATGGTCATAGTCTGCTTTATACGTGGGAGCCACAGCAGGCAAAAGGCAGACCTGGCCCGGGCCACCAGGCATTTATCCAGTCAGTGTCCCAGGTGAGGGGGCCAGTTTATCAACCCATGTGTGAGATCAGGACAAGCTGAAAAAGAGCAGTTCACTGTGTCAAGCCAGCGTCCCTCAGATGGGGCAAGTAAGAATAATGAGCTCCACACATCCCCGACCTCCAACATGGGGAGAGGAGAGGCATATCCCCCGACCCCTGGTGGAGGTTCAAAGAAAGGAGATCTGCACTCTTCCACTGGCAGGGCCGGAAAAGAGGAACTGGGAGCACGGGCAGGAGCTTCCCCATCCCCGTTAAAAGGAGCCCTTGTTCTTTGTGTGGGTGATGGACGGCTGAATGAACAACGGTCACCTGGCCTGGAGCCTGGCTGCTGCTGTTTTGGAGCCCCCTAGTGGCCGGTGCACTGGAGCAACTGCCTTGCAGAGATCCTACATCTGGAAGATGGCAGTGCTATGCAGTCAAATGAACAGCTTTGAATGACGGGTGGAACCGGGACAGAGATTAAGTCACTTTGATTTTGCTTACTCTGGGTGGGTCAGGAGTGACAGAGCCCATCCCCGCAAAGAAATGAGGCATCTTGTACCAATTTGCGGGGGCAAGATTTAGAAAAACTTCACCCAGCTTGTTAAAAAGTTTAAGCCAAAGCCCCTTCTGCTGAGTGACCAGCTCCTGAACGGCCACACCACAATGGGGCGCGTGCCTTGGCAGCATTAAAGGAGCACCTGATTCATAAGTGAGACTGAGCTATTCTAAAGGACGCCTAGTTAGGCTCCCATCATGCAAAGTGTTCTCCACACACTTAACTTTATGTACTGCAAGTAGCCTCAGGGTAGCCACCAGCATGACTCACAGTGTACAAAGTTAAACATGCACTGGTTTGCACACACACAAGGCTTGGAGCCTTACTCACCTTTGGTTTCGCTCCCATATTACACACATGCTGTTTTCAGCTCTTTTTCTTTCACTGGGTTATTTTTTCCCCCTTCCCAGTCCTCACAACTTATTATTTTATCCTTTGCTAGAAGAATTCCGCTCTCCATGTCAGTCTAATGTCCGCGGGACAAGCAGAGGACTCCATGCTGCCCTCGGGTACTCCCAGGCCATTCACCATGGCTACAGCTGAGACTGCACAGCTGGAATTAGTCTCAATACCGTGGACACGTACAGTCAGTGGACCTTTCCCTCCGGCGGCCAAGTGCCCTGTGCATATGCACATAGCTGAAACGAGGCCTGTGACAATTTCCTGCCAGATCCTTGAAAACTCTTAGTGAATTAAGTTTAAATCTCTTTGGAGTCCATTGTATTAAACACAAAGGTTCTGTGTTATTCTGGGCCTGGATTGCATGTCACTTCGGGGGAGGATAGGATGTGAACCCTGGGAAGTGTTATTAACATCAAAGGACTGCACTGAACAATGGGCCAAACAAGAACGGGCTTTTGGGACAAATAGTGTCACGTGGTTTGCTTGGGGAATCTTTATGGGGCGGTGAATACAAATTACCCACCTCCAGTTATGCAAAAACCCAGCTTTGGAAGCTACGCCCTGAGGAGAGGGACACTGGCCACTGATTACCTGTTCCTGGAGTCTGAAGATCAAAGGCCCAAATTGTATAAAGGAAAGACTGAATATTCATGGGCGTGCTAGTTCTGGGCTAAGGCTGTTGTGAACTGGTCAACACTCTGTGGGATTTGAAGGACTGTGTCCTAGCAGAGCCCTGGTGAAGCTGGTGGTGATCTCTGGTAAGATTATTAGCACATGTGTAGTTTCTTTTGTGTTGTTTTATATGTTTTCTCGGTAACGCTTTCACCTTAAGAATAAATGTGCTTGCTTCAGAAGGCAACCACAGCTGTTGGCAACCACAGCTTTTCACAGCCTTCAGCGAGAAAGCAAAATACAGGCAGTTTGGCTTGCTGGGGAATAACAGAGTGTGGGCAGGGAACTGTGCAGCCTGGAAAGACCCTGGTGAGGAGAGAGAGAGAGAGACAGATCTCAGCCCAACAGAGGTGACAGCTGAGAAGCCTGGCGTGGGTGCCCTTGAGCGACCACAGAGGAGGAATACCAATGCAGTTGCCCTGACCTGTGACAGGGCAGCCCATGGACAGATGCTTCACCAGCTGAACCAAACAAGAGGAGCCATCTGATTGAGCCAACAGGGCCTGCAGGCTCATCTTCGCTGGGACTATATCTCGCCTAGAGACAGTTAGCCCTCGCACCATCTGTCTCTGGGGAAGGGTGAGAGAGCCTCCTGCCTCCCCCCTGCTCAGGACAGCAGGGTAGGAAGCTACGATCTCTGGTCTAACAGAATGTCACTCATGGGGCCAGCCCAAAGCTTTTGACAGATAGGATTTTATCACAGACCCTAACGGTGCGGGTTAACAACCCAAAGGTTAAGGCCTAAATATGTCCTTACACAACAGACGAAGCTCTCTACCAGGACTGGTGCTCTCAACCTCCACCCCAAGAAAACCAAAATGGTTTAAAAGGGCGTTTAACCCTTGCAGGCTGCATTAGGATCAGGATCCTTGCCCTGTCCCCACTCCCTGTTTCCAGACACCTGCAGCATTTCAAGCACTAACCTCAGAGAGAGTTACTTACAGGTTCCTCGGGAAGGACCGGCTGCTGAGCGTCAGGACGGAGCCGAAACATGCAGCAAGTCTGCAGGAAGAGCACCGCATGCTTCTCTGCCTGTATGGGTTTTCTGTAAAGGTAAGTTTGGGGGTATTTAAACTTCAGCGCTTCATCACGTAACTAACAAAATGAACATTAACGGATATGGCCCATGGATCTGCTCACCAGGAGTTCAAAGCCTCACACTTACCTTTCCAAACAACTCGGCCATTGAGCTGCCCGGGGCAGGCCCAGCCGTACCACCTGGCTTCGGCCCACTGAAACCACCACTATTCTGGAATGGGGAAGGAAGGAGAAGGGTTGCCATTGAGACAAGCAGCAGTCACTGGCTGAGAGACACAGGGACGTTCTTTGGACATTTGTGAGGATCCTTTGATTCTCTCCTAGGTCAGAGTGTCAGGTGGGGAGAAGAGGAGGAGAGAATTGTTGGGGTGGAAAGGGAAAACTGGAGCAGCCAGGGCACCTGGATGGCAACAAGAGGATGAATGGGAGTGGCTGGGCTGTAAAAACTAGCCAACAAAACCCAAGTAATGCTCAAGGATTTGGACCAGCCTTTTCTAAAGGGGTCACTGCTGCTGCATGCTCCATTTTTGCCCAGGCTAACTCTCAAGTTGGACACACAACCACATCTATGGCCACTTTGGAAAACGGTGGCCTTAAGGTATGAACTGCATATGCCTTGGGGCTGGAAGTTCAAAGTGGTGAGCACTTCCTGAGAGTTCCTGATTCCCCACACCTCCCACAGGCCTTGGGGTTTGCACTGTGTCCATGCAGATGGAAAACTCATCTTCATGTTCCTCTGTGGAGTACCTAGGGTGCTTGTCTGCTATCTAGGTAAGAAATAAAAGTCCCCGGCTACCCCTTGGTGCTCTTCCTGTTGTGGCATCATGTGTTTCAGGAACTCCCTGGCATTCAGCAGCAGATCCTTAAAGAGGAGCCTGAAAAGGGAAAACACAGTATCTGTAACCACCAGAATAATCAAAGTCACTCTAACCAGAGGCATCAACTCCGTGGGTGCTCTAGGGCTGGAGCACCCATAGGAAAAAATAGTGGGTGCTCAGCACCCAACCGTGGCCCCTCCAGTGAGCTCCTCCCCCCCCCCCCAGTGTCTCCCACCTGCTAGTGATCAGCTGTTCAGAGGCATGCAGGAGGCGCTGCGGGGGGTGGGGGGGAGGAGAGGGGCAGGAAGAGGCTGGGGTGGGTGAGGCCTTGGCGAAAAGGGTGGAATGGAGCAACGCCTGGGGCAGAGCAGGGGGAGTGGGGTTGAGCACCCCTGGGGAAATTAGAAAGTCGGCGCCTCTGATCCTAACCCTTCAAACTTCTTTGTAAGGGCTTGAGCTTGTGTGAAAGTTTGGGTTGGTTTGTCTGACTTTACCTATCCCAAGAATTAAGTCTTGCAAATGAAACGGTGAAAATGTAAAGGCCTATTGTTTCAATCAGAGAGACAAGATGGGGGAGGTAATATCTTTTATTAGACCAGCTTCTGTCAATGAGAGAGACAAAAAAGCTTGTCTCCCCAACAGAAGCTGGTCCAATAAAAGATATTACATCCCCCACCTTGTTTCTCTAATGTCCTGGGACCAACACGGCTACAACACTGCATGCAACCGTGTAAGATATCGTTTCAGTTTAAATGTTCAATGAAAAACAGTTCACGTTAAGATTAAATCTGGTTAGAACCGGGATTATGAACATGAAAACAAACCATTTCTCTTGCCACATGCTTTTCATTCAACCTTTCAGAAGCAATAAAAGAAGCCATCTAAGAGACTGTCGTCTTTCCTGGATGTAAGGAATTAGGAAATGTTGTATTTGCAGCTGGGTGGGAAACCTTTACCATTGAGCACCCTAGAGAAACTGAGTTCTTGCCTGAAGGAGGAAGGGAAGTAGGCGTGCGGTGATGGCTAGGACATTCAGCGAAAGGCTAGATCTTCCTAGGAAGCAGGCAGATGGGAGTGTGGCATTGAAAAGCCATGACAGACCTGAGGAGGGTACAGGACCTGGACACAGCAATGAGTTTGATGTCTATTTCAATTCTATGCACGACATCACTGCCCTATATATTGTATTATCATGAAATGCAAGGGCGTGTGTTAAACTCATCGGGCGGAATCCTGTACAGTGCTGATGTATGGGAAATCCAACCATTTCCCGGCGACAGAACAATGTAACCTGGTCAAAAGGAAAGGAAGGATCTACCTGGTCACCAACAGCATAAGCCTCTCAAGTAGTATCAACAGTAGGATCAGATGCAGGAGACCTGTATGTCCCCTGTGAATGAAGGGGAACGACGTATTTTTTTATGTTTGTGAGTTAGCGATGGTCCAAGTTCTTAAGGGGGAACATTTCCTGGAGGGTCTTTTTCCTATTAAACAGTGGGTTTGTCCAAGTTCAACCATTGTAGATTTTCAATGCAAATAATTTCACTGCTGTTAGACTTATGCACATGTCAGTAGGTATAATATTCAAGAGTTTCCTGTTATTTCATGAAGATAGGGACCCTGAGAAAGTTCACAGTACAGTACTGGGATTATAGGGACCATCACATTCCAAGAATCCCTGGGAAAGATTTTATACAGTGAAAGGACATACAATACATTAGATCTGAGCAAATCATTTACAGTACAATAACATAATCAACAAATTGTTCTTTTCTGCATGTGACCTGCCAGTGATTTTTGTGATTTCTTATGCAAAATTATTCTGCAAATAATTCTTGGCCTAGAGATTACTTGGGAGCTGTTTATTCAGATTATACGATAAACAACACCTCCCACTTTTCAGCTATGTTTGATCAGACACCCAGGTTGTATGGTATTGATTCTGTTCCCTGACTGTATAAGCGTAACTGTTAGTCCTGGTCTACACTTAAAAATTAGATTGACCTAGCTACATCACTCAGGGCTGTGAAAGATTTCACAGCTTGGAGTGTCATAGTTAAATCAAACCAATCCTCATGTAAATGTGGCTAGGTCGATGGAAGAATTCTTCTGTCAAGCTACAGGTTTCAGAGTAATAGCCGTGTTAGTCTGTCTTCGCAAAAAGAAAAGGAGTACTTGTGGCACCTTAGAGACTAACCAATTTATTTGAGCATGAGCTTTCGTGAGCTACAGCTCACTTCATCGGATGCATACCGTGGAAACTGCAGCAGACTTTATATACACACAGAGACCATGAAACAATACCTCCTCCCGCCCCATTGTCCTGCTGGTAATAGCTTATCTAAAGTGATCATCAAGTTGGGCCATTTCCTGCACAAATCCAGGTTTTCTCACCCTCTGCCCCCCCCCCCACACAAACTCACTCTCCTGCTGGTAATAGCTTATCCAAAGTGACCACTCTCCCTACAATGTGCATGGTAATCAAGGTGGGCCATTTCCAGCACAGATCCAGGTTTTCTCACCCCCCCACCCCCATACACACACAAACTCACTCTCCTGCTGGCAATAGCTCATCCAAACTGACCACTCTCCAAGTTTAAATCCAAGTTTAACCAGAACGTCTAGGGGCGGGGGGTGGGGTAGGAAAAAACAAGGGGAAATAGGCTACCTTGCATAATGACTTAGCCACTCCCAGTCTCTATTTAAGCCTAAATTAAGCTAGTTGCCGCCTCTTGGAGAAATGGAAAAACCCCTACGCCTTCCGTCAATGTCAGAAGTGTCTAACTGCAGTGCTGTACCTGTGCCAGCAGAAACATGGCCTTAGAATCTGGTTTAGGGTGTGAAATATAAAATTCCCTTTCTGCTAATATTATCTCAGACTCACTCAAAATTCTGTTTCCATGAAAATTTCCGGCAATGAATGTAAAAACCAACACCAAATGCACCTGAAAACAAACAAAGCAAGTTCAAAGTGGTTTTGAAAGGAAAGATGGGCTTGCGTGCAGCACATCGATCTGTGCCTCACTTTCCCACTGGTAAACAAGGGATAACAATCCTTATTCTCACCAACTTTTGCCTGTCTATATTTTGAGACTGGGACTGCCTCTTACTGTATCTCTGTGCAATCCCCAGCACGATGGGCCCTTGATTTTGGTAGGGGTCTCTTAGTGCTACGGGAATGTGGGCAATAATGTTCTTTGATTGAATATTTGCAAACAGTTTCACTCAGCTCTTCAAGATATACAGAATCCACACAGGTTATTTTTTAGGCTGTGTAAACTTTGACAAGATTTTGTGTGGTTCATGTTAAAGCCTATAGTTTGCTTTTCTCCCAAACAAAAGAGTTTCTACATACAGCACTAAAGAGTTTCTCTTTGTCCTCTCTGCCCTTCTGCTGTTGGAGGAGCAGTCCAATACTTCCCCCCTGGCTAGGAGCAGAATATATCGTTTGTTCAGAGACTGCTATTTATACTGCTGTGTTGCTTGACCTAGAGGCATCTACTCTTAGTGGAGAACTGTTGAGGTCATCAAAGGCATCCTCTCCATGTCTGTTCTCCACTGCTCCAGAGAACTCCCCTAATGAAGTCTTCTGCGTCGTACTCACATACATATTATCACTGCAAACAGGATGGACAAAAAGTGTTTGGGTTTTGTTTTTTTTTAAAGAACTGTATTATTAATTTTATTAACCCAGCTAATAAAGTTGCCAATGACAAAATATCCAGAACCAGAAAGGAAATTCTGGGGCTGTTAATGCTTGTTTAAATTGAATATTTAGTTGGAGAAGTGTATCTTGAGTGTTAGCTCCAGGAGAGCTCTGCTGGATTCTGTAAGCCTTGGGAAGTGAAGTGTTCATTTCCACACAATGTCTGGTTTTAAAGTACTGACCTGCTCTGAAGATTGACTATGTAAACTGCCATCCTTTTACGCACTAGACTGTTCCCCAGGCATCTTCAGAGTCAGTGGAGTTACTTTACTAAGGGCCCAATCTTACAAACCCTTAGGTGCGCGCATGACTTTACTTGGGCAAGTAGTACTCTTGAAGTCAGCGCAACTGGTCACCTGAGTAAAGTTAGTCATGTACAAGTTTACAGAATTAGGCCCTAAAATTAAAGTTTTACTCCCACCAGGACTATAGAACAGAGAACAACCTGGATCCTTTTCTGTTTTGTGTGTTATTCACGGAAGAGTTAATCAAGTACCAAGTGCAGAATCTTTAATGTTGTTGAGCATGAGCCAGAAAGACTGAAGCTGGGCTCTTTCAGATCCCAGGCTGAAAGTTCGCAGGGCTGGAAATTGGAAGGCTACTTTTCACTTGTTAACCGAGCACGTGAGATCTGGAAGTCATGAAGACACAATGGTCACGGATCCTCCAGTGCTGTTTTTTTCTACACCCTTCCATGAGACATCGGGTGATAACTAAGGAATGGAGTAAAGCAGAACATATTGCACCAATGCCAAAGCATTTCCCCTACTTTCTCTAATATGCAGCTATTCTTGCAGCTACTCGGTAATTACAATAAGAAGAGGAGTACTTGTGGCACCTTAGAGACTAACCAATTTATTTGAGCATGAGCTTTCGTGAGCTACAGCTCACTTCATCAGATGTATACCGTGGAAAGCAGTTTTCACGGTATACATCTGATGAAGTGAGCTGTAGCTCACGAAAGCTCATGCTCAAATAAATTGGTTAGTCTCTAAGGTGCCACAAGTACTCCTCTTCTTTTTGCGAATACAGACTAACACGGCTGCTACTCTGAAACCAGTAATTACAATGAGCCACTTTTGCAGTTCTTTGTATCCCAGTGTAGCTTTGCTTCACTATAATTTCTTTAGTAAAAAAAGAGTACCTTCCTTTTCCCCTGAAAGCGATTAGCATGTCGTTCACATAACTCTTTGGATGTAAATCGAGCTATTCCCACCAGCTACTCAAAAAGTACATAATCACTATAATTACTGCTGGCATCTAATTAACATTCAACTTCCTCTCTACAGCAACTACAGCTGGACAACCCATTTATTTCAGGCTAAAACTAATAGTCTCTATTATTTCTCAC